ACTGACCCACCCACCCCGTCTGCTGCAGCCCCTGGCGTCTGAGAGACCTGCAGCCCCAGAGCCCACTGCTGCCCCGTGCTGTGGTATACATGGCTCCGATCTGCTATAGGCCCAGTACTCTCCCCAGGGATAGGAGGGAGCAAGTGCGGCGGGGGGTGGGGCACGGGATGGCTAAGCCAGCAATCCATGCCCCTCGGGATTTGGGGTACTCATGCACACATGCCCATGCGTTTTTTTCAGACTGCTGGGTCTAGGATTCGAACCACTCAGTCAGTCATGTGGGATCTGACCACTCCAACCACTATGCCACTGGCCAGCCCGTTTTCTGTACTCTCCGAAGTGTTGATTCACCAAATCTGTTTCCAGACCGGAGAACAGACTGCACAAAGGTCTGTACTGTTACTTTTTTTTTGGAGAGGTTTCTGCTCTAGGTTTCTGCTCTAGAGGGCAGAGACAGAAAGTGAGAAATCACCCCCCAGGGGGGATGGTCACGCCGCAATCCCTTCTCCTCCATTCTCCTCTCGGGATCTTGGGCACGCACGCACACGCGCCCGGCGTGAGATTTAAGCCACCGGGTCCGGGACACGAACCGCGGTCGACTACGTGGGAGTCCAGCGACATAGCCATTACGCTAACTGCTGGTTCCCCCCTCTCGGGATCTTGAGCACACACATGCACAGGCGCCCGGTGTGAGTTCAAGCCACTGGGCCTGGGACTCCAACTGCAGTTGATTACGTGCGAGTCAGCAGCGCCACCTGCCGGTCCCGTATGGAACTGTTACTTAAAATAGCTGGTGATGACTTCTCTTTAAATAAGAGTCCAAACACACCGGGGTTTAAATAAGCTGCTTCTCTTTCCACTGTTTATTATTAATGTACAAAATATACAAAACCGAAAGAAAAAGAAAATACTCATCCTCAAATCCATTGTGGCTCTAATCCAAGACCCTGCACAAAACCCAACCAATCCACTGTTTTCATAGAAAACAACTGATGCCAAGACAGGTGAAGGAGAGGACAGGGAGGGGCCCCACACCGCGGCGCATACGCCAGGACGGCCCGGCGGGGGTTCGGGGCCGCTGCCCGGGCAGGAGGCAGTGCATGTAGTGTGACCGCCGGGCCCAGGTGACGACAAGCTGGTTTCACTGAGGGTCTGCAAAGTCTCCAGAGGGCTGTGAGCGGGGTGGACCACACACCGGCCCTTCCCACGCGACTAAAGTTCCACCGGATGCAGACGTGAGGTCGCCATCATCAAACCCAGAGACCCGGGTGCAGGCCAGGCGTTCCCAGGAGGCCGCAGTAGACTCGATAGGACCCAGCACAGCCCGAGCGGGGAGTGGGAGGTGTGTCCCGGAACTCGAGCCCAGGCTGCCTGAGCCCTCAGTGCAGGGGTGCTCCCACCCCAGGAGGAGCGATGAGCTGGGCTGGAATGGTCCCGAAGTGCTGCTGGTCCGCACAACTGTGTGCGCACAGGCCCACGCAGAGCGGCGGTGTTCTCCCGGACAGCCCGCCGGGGGTTCTCGGGCCTCATGGGTAATACTGGAAAGGGCTTGGGGTACAGGGTGAATCTCCTCAAAAAGTGAAGCCAACTGGGCCTCCTCTTCGGCAGTCCAGGGCACGGAACGCGTCCAGCCTCTCCCCTCCCTGGACTGGAGGAGAGCTATGTACACCGATGCGCACCAGGGATCGAAGCCCCAGGAACCCCAGCAGGTGGGGCTGCGGGGCGCTCCTCGTCAGCTGGGCAGGGGGAAACGGGCCTCACAGAAGCCATAACAGGGCGAGAGGAGCGAGGCTGCGGTCCACAGGGCATGGCGGGGTGGGCGGCAGGCGGTCCCTAGGGCAGCGGGGGCCCGTTGACACCCGGGTGATAGAAGGCACAGTTGTTCTCGTAGCGGCAGTTGCCCTTCATCATGAAATGCCGACAGACAGGGCGGTTTGACATGTCTGAGAACGAGGGAAGAACGAACGGTCAGCGAGGAGGCTCAGAGGTCAGCACCGCCCTCGCCGCCCCAGGCCCGGCACCCTGAGGACGGCTTTTCAGATCCGAGTCTTGGGGGCTGGGGCAGGGCAGTGGCTCAGAACTGCCACATATATGGAGAACCCAGGGGGATAGGGAGACCTCGAATTCCGCCTGACACGCTCAGAGCAGTGAGTGCCCCCGGACTTGTAGGTACCCAAAGCCACGTGGGGACAGGGAGCGTCCTTACCTCCTCCATGGCTGTGGCCTCCATCATGCCCTCGATGGCCCCCTCCTCCATGTCCAGGGCCATCATGGCCACGGTGCTCATGAGGTGGCGGCCCTCGATGGTCATGGCCTCGGTGACTAGGGACATCGTGAGGCCGGTGACCATGGGGCCCCCCATGTCCAGGGCCTTCATGAGGGCGATGTCCACCACTTCCGCCCATGCTCCCGCCGGGGCCTTCGTGGGGACGATGGCCACTGCCACCTCCCATGCCACCGCCAGGGCCATCGTGGGGACGGTGTCCGCTGCCCATGCCGCCGCCAGGGCCATCGTGGGGACGGTGTCCACTGCCACTGCCCATGCCGCCGCCAGGGCCTTCATGGGGACGATGTCCGCCACCTCCAACCATGTTCCCACCAGGGCCCCCTCGTCCATTTGGGGGGCCTCCTCCAGAGCGACCTCCTCTGGCTCCTCGGAATGGCGGTGGCGGCGGGGGAGGTTCATTTCCTCCTCGGCCACCTCGGCCTCTATGGTATGGTCCAGGACCAGGTCCGGGACCTCCCCGTATAGGACCACCACGCATGGGGTCACCTGGGCCATCCCAGAAGGGATCACCCCCGCGGGGAGGGGGTGGAGGACCCAGGAGACGGGGACCCACTGGCCCACCAGGGCCTCCATGAGGACCTGTTAAGAAGGGAAAAGGACAGTCTCAGTGACCTGCTAGACTCGGGACCGCCACCGCCGTCTCCCCGCCCACACCGCCTGCTGCCTTTGGCCAAGCCGCTGTTTCCAGGCTCGACTTAGGCAGATAAGCCCCTTCCAGCTCTCACCACCTACCAGGCATGGGCCCCCCAGGTCCAGGGGGGAAGTGCTGCATGCCCTTGGGGCCCCCAGGACCTCCTGGTGGGAAACCATTGGCTATTGGGCCGGGACCCAGGAGACCGTGTGGCACTGTGAATGCAGAAGGAGGGAGAGTCAGTAGAGGGTTCTAGAACAGCACGACTCCCCACGAGGTGTGCCCCAGGGACCCTCAGCTGACCTGGCAGAGTGCCCTGCTGTCTGCCCCCTCCTGTTTCCCCACACTGGTCGCCATCTGGGAGAGCTGCCCCCCACCCCTGCGCCCCCACGACCCCAGGGCTGCCCTGCACCTACCCACCATCTGCTTGATCTTGTCAGAGTAGTCGGGCTGCTTCAGCAGCTCCTCTGAGGGGTGGCTGTTGGGGCTGCCCTGCGAGGGTGTAAGAGGCAAGGTCACTTCCGTGGACAGAGGGAGAGCCGCACGTCGGGACGGAGACGGAGCTGGGAGACGGGAAGGAGGCTTACCATGATGGAGGTGAGGATCTCCTGCACATTGATGCCACCTCCTCCAGGGCCCTGGGGGCTCTTCCCAGCACCCATGCTTCCCATGAGATTGGCCAGGACAGGAGGCAGCTTGGAGCCTCCTGCCCCGTCAGGGGAACCACCAGAGCCCCCTGGCTCCAAGGTCTCAACATACGGGGTCTCGTCCATGGAACACTCCTGAAAGAATGGGAGAGAAATCAGGACTGACTGAAAGAAGGGAGAGGACGCACCGACGGCCAGCAACCCTCCCGTCAGCCGTGGCCACCCACCACGGCTCACTCACCTCATCCAGGGGGATGAGCTTGGGGGGGATGGGCTCATAGGGCTCAGGATCAGGCTCGTGAGGACTGTCAGGAACAGCGCGGGAAAGGAGTGAAGGCGAGCGTTAGTCGAGTCACCTCTGCAGGCCCTCCAAGTCCTTTCTAGCCTCCCCCGCTGCCCGTCCTTAGTCACCCCAGGTCACGACCCTTTCAGGAGTCCAAGCACCCCACACCCTGACAGCTACCCATGTGCTGACCTCTCCTTGTTCAGGAAGAGCTCCTGCAGGATCCCCTTCTCCCGCTCTGCCTGGATGTATCGCTCCTGGCTGTTGCTGCCGGGCGTGACAAGCGGTGACGGCAGAACCAAGGGCCGGGGGCACACCCAGGGCACCTTCTCCTCCATGTTGTCGTGGCTCAGACGCCGAGCCGTCTCAAACGCGTGTCTGTCGGACAGGATCTCTCGCTTAGCGGCCTCGCCGAAGTCCTTGATCTTATTCACATTTACTGTGGGTGAGGGGGAAGACGCGACAGGACAGGTAAGCACCAGCATGTCCTCTCTGAGTCCCCTTCACACAACACCCACGGAGGATGACACCGGACCCATTACCTCGCTCCGTTTCATCCAGCTCGAAATAGAAATACTCCCTCAGCTTGCCCTCCTCGGGCCACGTCACCGTCTTCCTCTTCCTGCCCTTCCGGGTCAGCTGGCCGGGCTCCCCAGGGCTCTCCACGGGCTTCGCATCCAGAGCTCCTGGCTCCAAAGAGGCTGGAAGCCAGAGAGCCGTGAGACCCGGGTCTCCCCCGAGCGCCTCCCGCGCCGCACCCGTGCCGCCCCTGCAGTACCTGTATCCATGCGCTCTGGGACTTCGACGGGGGGCACGGGGGTGCCAGGGCGGTCTGTGTCCATGGACTCAGAAGGGGGTGCTGGTTCTGGGGAGGAAGGTTTGGCCGTACTTGGTTCCGTGCTTGTTTTCCCTTCAAAGGGGCTCGGCTGTTATAAAAGAGAAAAAGCAAATGAGCTGCAGGAGAGGCCAGGCCACGCAGGACGGCTACTCCACGGTCCAGGCAAGGCCTCCCAACCGGTACCTACGAGAACTTCCGGAACACGGTCCCGCCCCGTCTACACCGGAGACCCGGCTGCTGGCCCTTCCTCCCCTTTCTCTCTGAAAGCAGCCTGGGCCCATACCTTGGCAGCTGTAGGTGACAGCACCTTCTTCTTCTTCTTAATTTTGATGCCTGGAACTGGGGCTGAATTAAGAGCATCCAGAAAGCCCAGGCCCTCCATAGCTACAAAGGAAAGAGCATAACGTCATCAGATCCCCTTGACAATCTGCACCTGCAGACACAGCCCAGGCAGAAAGGGGGCCAGGAGAGACCGTGTCTCAGCAAAGCGCACGGCGAGCTCAAAGGGAGCAGGCGCACGGGCAGGAGGGCCGCGCGGGAGACACCATTTGCAGCGACTGTGTCTTCCTGGGTGGGAGTCAGGGCTCAGGGCGCCTGTGAACATGACGGGTCACCCGGCCAGGTGGGAGCGCCCCTACCCACCCGGGAAGTGGGTTATGGAATGGCACGCCTCCCCAGCTCATCTCTAAAATTACTGAGTGACCACTTGAGTGGGGAAGAGTTTCAGAGGTACAAAAATGAAAGGGCTCCAAGAAATCAAAGGGAAAGGGTGAGAAACAGTAAGAGAACAAAGTTCAGCCCCCGCCCCGGACAGACGGCATCCCCACTGCGGACTCGGGACTCACGCTGTGGCGGGATGATCTTCACTTTGATCTCTTTGGTGGCATTGGGTGTCGTGTTGAGTGGCTTGTATTTCTTCTCCGCAGGGGGCGCGGCGTCTCCTGGAGCAGCTGCAGCGCTGTTAGAAGGGGGACTGTCAACACCATCTCTGACGCGCCCTCCCTTCTCCCTCTTGCCACAGGTCCGCCCCAATGGAACCCTGGAACATGCTCCCTACCTCTGGCGCTTGAGGGGGATGGGTTTCAGGTTGTACTTGTCAGACACCACCACCGCACTGGCGTTCTTCTTCACGGGCACCAGCGACGGTGTCTCCAGCTCTAGGCCTGGGCGAGGAGACAGGAGTTGGCAGCTGAACTCACCCCCACCTTCCCGGCTTTTCCTCCCCAGAGGCCTTCCAGCCTTGCATCACCCCGGGGCCCTCCCACCAGCCCGCCCCTCCCACAGATGTAACAACGCGCCACCTGCTCTGCACGTGCACATGCCCAGACCCTCGGGGGCCTTACCAGTAGAACGGAACTTGGCATGACTGGGCGCTGTGGTTCGAAGGGACTTGGGCTTTTCCTTCTTCTTCTCGGGGACTTCCTCGGCCCGGGCCTCAGCCTTCACCTCAGTCAAAGGTCGCTCAGGAGGGGTGGTTCGACTCTTTCCTTCTTCCTTACGCTTTTTCTTATCTTTCTCTATTGAGGGAAACAAAAGCAGAAAACTATTTTATTTAGATAAAAAGCAGCAGACTACTGTGTGGGGGGCACCTGAAAGTCACGGCGGAGTGGGAAAGACACAGGGACAAGGACAAGGGCCTTACCAGCAGGCTGGGTACTGCTCTGGGAGCGGATGACAGCCATCCAGTCACTGACGAGGACCGAGGCCAACTTCCGGAGCTCTGTAGGTGCGAGAAAGGGGAGATGCCTCAATAGCTTAAAATAGCAGTCCTCCAGTAACACAGAATAGGAGGTTTGAAAAAAATACTGTGAAAATATGAGCAATAAGAAAAAGTAACTTAGGGCTTTAGAACATGAGATACACTTCAAAGCCAAGCTCATAAAAATGGAAAAATGAATCACAGAGTTAAACAGTTAAAAAGGACTTTCTAGACAACCCTTTTTCCTAGAATGCTGGTAGTGATAATGCAAAAAACAAACAAACAAACAAACAAACAAAAAACAACCCCCCTGCCACACACACACAAAAAAAACATTAACTGCAGAGTCGAAAGAGTCCTTAGAAACAGGCCAATTAAGGGTTGAGCTTTAGGTGTATGCCCCCCCCTTTTTTTTCCCAAAGAGATTTTTTTTTTTTGCTATAAGGCGTGTGAGCTCGCCTGGAGAGACAGAGAGAAAACGAGGACTCACTCCCCAGAGGGCAAGGCCACGCTCAATCCCTTCTCCTCCATTCTCCTCTTGGCATCACGCGCACACACACACGTGTCAGGTGTGAGCTTTAAGCTACTAGGTCCAGGACTCGAAACGTGGTCGACTATGTGGGAGTCCAGCAACGTAACTGTTACACCACCTGCTGGTCCCAGGGGCATGCCTTGTATACCAAGGGATCTTCAAAGTATGGCACGAAGTACCGCTTAGAGTATGGCAGTGTATCTTATACTCCACAGCAGAGAAGGACAGATTCCATTTGGAATTCAGAACAGGAAAGGGGACAGGTCAGAGGGACTGCATATTTTTTTTTAATAAAGAATTATTAATTTATTTAATTCAATTGGTGGTGGTTGTTATTATTATTTTTTTTTAATTATTTTTATTTGGCCAGAGACAGAGACAGAGAAAGGGAAAGTAAGAAAGCAAGCCACCAGGTCCGGGACTCAAACAGCACCCTTAACCACCAGGCCACCTGCCAGCCCCAAAGAACTAAATTTTAAAAGAAAGAGAAAAGCAAGGTGAGGTAGGAAGGAGGAGGAAGGAGTGAAGTGGCAGTCCGAGGACGGGCAGAGAAGGGGCAGGAATGAAGACAAGCCTCTGCAGAGAGCAAGAGCGGCCCTACCTTCATCCTCACTTGATTTGCTCAGCTGTTTCACCAGTTTGGCTGTGTTATTCTACAAGAGATGGAGGAGGCAGAAAGGTAAATTTCAAGAGGAAAAGTCAGCCCCCCACTCGCTCACAATCCCTTAGCAGTCCTTTCACAGCGACTGTCACTGACGTACACTTCACCGTTTTCAAAATCTTGGTCTACATGTCCTTAGAACAATCCAGTAAGATAGGTACAATGATTCCCATTGTACAGAAGAAAAACTGAGACGTGGACATATGAAGACGCTGTGGAATGCCCTAAGCCACACACCGACTTTAGGAGATAAATTCTAACCCAGTCCTCTGATTCTCAACCCGTCTCCCCTGCCATTCTGCCTACCAGCCCACAGCAGAGTCAGTGAGTGCCCGCTATGGGGTAAGCCAGAAAGGACGCGCAGGCACAGGGCGCAGGTACCTGCTTGAGGTGGTCCACAGTGAGCGGCAGGTGCTGCAGGGTCAGCAGGATCTGCTGGAGGAGGGGAATGTTGTTGGTTGTCTTTGAGTATGTCAGCCAATTGTTAAGGAGCTTATAGCCGCCGACGTCAATGAACCTGCAGGCAGGTAGGAAAAGAAGTTGTAATGCCCTTCCCAGGTCTTGGAAGGACCGAATCCCATGTTCCTGGTCCCCACTGCTGACCCAGGAACCCCACGCCTTACCTCCCCCGGCCCCCTGGACCCTCACTCACTTGACTAGTACCTCCGGTGAACGGGTCTGCAGGAGGATGTTCAAGTAGGTGCACCGACTCACCATCTTTCGCGCTTCCTTCATCAAACTGTAGGAGAGAAGTCGGGGTTAGAAACGCAGCCAGGCCTCTCCTAGGAGAAGCCCCTCGTCCGTGGCGAGCCTAGGGATTCCTCCTATCTTGGGGTTTGCTCCGGAGTATGGGGACAAGGCTGGGAGTGGGGCAGAGTGTACTCCACAGACCTCTAGGACGAGGGGATGGATCCAGAGAGCCCCGGGAAAACTGCTAGCTACTAAGGGAGACACTGAAGTCGGACGGGAGGTCGGCACCACTGCTTCCCACACAGATCTCTGATTCTCCCTCCGGTGAGAGTCCAGCCCTAAACGACCATTCCTCTGAGGTCTACCCAACAGGCTTAGTCATCTGCTTTGCTCTAGAATACCTGAGGATTCTTCAAGAATCCTGTCACCAGGCTTCCCTGCTCACTCCAGTGCAACTCCATTGGGACAGATGTCCTAATCTCCAACTTCCCTCATAACCAGCAAAAAAATGGACCATCTTTTCCTGTCGCACCCTTTCCTCGCCCACTGCCTCTCCCTCTCCCTCTCGAGGACACCCTGAGATGCAGCCACGTTCCACGTGCAGTAGCCTCTCTCCACAGAAGGGCTCGGACTCACCTGAAGATCTTGGAAATTCCATCCACACTCTTGACTTCCCCATCTCGGCTAAGGAAGCTATCCAGGCCCTTGAGAAGCTCTTTGGGGTCTATGGGACCTGAACCCATGACTGGTTTCTACAATAGAAGGATAAAACAAACCCAGAGAGTAAATGGGTGGCAAGGACTGCCCCAGTATGCCCTCCAAATTAATCCCACCTCTAGACGTTAAAAAAAAAAAGAGTAATGATTTAGTCAGTAGCCAGCTCCACTGCTTCCTAGATCAGACACCCACAGCGGTTAACGCCCGAGCAGGCAGGCCATCAGCCGGGATGGGCCGTGCCCGTCTCTCCCTCCTACCCAGCCACATCTTCCCTAGCACATGAGCTGCCCTGGCCTGTATCAGAGTAAATGCAGTCAGACCCACGTTCCATAACCAGGGGCTCCACTCTCCAAAATAGTTTTGCAGGTTGTTAGGTCCTTTGTCCAGCAGTTGCTGATAAATTTGGCTCAAAGAGAGCCTGGAGCTTGATAAAAACGGGGCCAATCTTGGGTGTGAAGACTAAAACAGAGGCAACTCCTCTTTATGTTAGCTCATTCAGAGCCACAGTCACCACGCGTGGCAGGATGAGTACCAGCTAAGCGGGAGGTTAGCCAGAAACAGAACTTAACAGAACCCTGTCCCAGGGGATTTGGGGGTCGCTCCCAAAATGAAGACGGATGAATGAAGAAGGAAATCGAGCAGGTCCCTCGTAAGCCTTGAAGAGAATGCCACTCATTAATCAAACACTGCACACACTTTTATTGTCTCCAAGTCAGAGGGCACCTTAGTTTGTACTTTCAAATGCAAGGACACAAATCTAACTCTCTACTCCCCTCAAAAATCACTTGTTGAAGATCCTTGAGAAAAGCCTTAAACAAACAAACAAGAAAAAAAGAAAATCACAGAACCAAAAAGAATAAAGCTAAAGACCAGGAAAAAAAAAATGCCATTATATTTTAAGCAGCTACTTACAGACCAAGTTTTTAAAAAGTAGTTAATTAAAAGCTAAATTCCTTTACAGGGAGAAAAAGGGACAGAGAGAAGTATAGGCTTCCTAGGCCAGAACCTAAGTTCTGGGAAGGTAAGTTAGGATCGATGTGGTGCAGAACAGGATTTTTATGCCCAGTGCCTCTAAATGTTGACTTCTGAGAACCACAAAAGCCACCCTGGCAGCACCGCCATCTGAGAAATACAGCTAATACGGGGTAGGGAGGAGGCAAGAAGAAAACCATCTCCCAATTCCTGCACCTAGTACCAAAAAAGACACCATGCCTTCAGAGGGCAGAAGGACAGGTTTCTTACGAGACAACGTGAGTTAGTTCTATCTGTTCTCTGATAAACTAAAAGGCAAGAGTAACCTGCACCTTTCAGCCCTCCACCAAAAAGGCCAATACAGTTATCTGTAGGTCCTAAAGCTAGGCCAGAAGTGGGGAGGAGGCAGGCGTCCAGAAAGGGCTCTTGGTTCTTGAGGGCAGAACCTGCGGGCTGAACACGGGGAGAGCTGAGGTAAGAATGCTGAGAGGTGAGCGAATCCCAGAGGTGAAATATGCCGTCGCTGCCGCCCTGGAACCGCCGCAAGGCCAAGAGGAACCTGAGGTCAGAGGGAGAAGCATTCAAGTCGAATATGGACAAGATTAGAAGTCTGCGGGCCAAACTGAAAGTATGGTCACTCAAGACACGAAGGGATAAAGAAAACTTCCCCATATGCTGAGACACTATAAAGTGATATCAAGGAACTACAGGCATACAGGTACAGTCAAGGGCTACATAAACAAATTTCCGCCTGCTAGAGACTGGAACGGCCGCGAGTGGCTCAGCCAGCAGCTAGGACACAGAAACCTAGTGTCTGTGTACACACACCCCTACTGCAGACCCCAAGTCGATAGATACCATTTCACAAAAGCCTTGAATTAAACATCACTCTCAGCAGACCCGAGTTCCAGTGCAGCCGAGTATGTGTGACCTTCAGAGAATTCCTGTTTACATATCTAACTGCAAGCTGGGCCAACAGGCCTGCTAGCCCTACTCGCTTTAACTGTCACCTGGGAGCAAATGTTCCTTTAAGAAAAAGGGAGAAAATAACCATCCTGGGAGAGAAAGCCGGACCACTGAACAGAAGGTAAGCTCTGTGCAGCGCCCTCTGCTGGGAATGGGACCCAGGGACTTTTCAATCTCCTTTTGTATAAACAAAGCTCTAAGACTTAATAGCAAAGGGAAGCTGAAGACAAAGAAAGGTTAAAGATTCACTTTTCACCATTATTTATATTTTGGAAATAGAAGTGAAATTGTCTCATAAATACCAATCATGTGATAAAATGGTTTTCTCCTGACGATTTTCTCTCAGGAAGATCAGTTTTTACTTATTTTACAATTAAGAACACAGTGTCTCACAACCGGCTTTCTTCTTTGAAGTCAATGCACCTTAAAAGAAGTTACACCATGCATCAGTAGCCGGGATGAAGGGCCTAGCGCTCCTGGTGCAGGCCCAGGGAGGAAGGCAACCGAGCTGCCAGGGAAAAGTGAGGGGTCAGTGTCTTACAACCGGCTTTCTTCTTTGAAGTCAATGCACCTTAAAAGAAGTTACACCATGCATCAGTAGCCGGGATGAAGGGCCTAGCGCTCCTGGTGCAGGCCCAGGGAGGAAGGCAACCGAGCTGCCAGGGAAAGTGAGGGGTGTACCCATTTACCGATGCTTCACCTGGAGCCTGCAGTAAGTTTGAGGAAGCGTTCAGGAATCACCAATAACCCAGAAAATGATTGTTTTAATTAGCTAATTTCCTTGAAGGCGTACAGAAGTGAAGGGGTGGAGAAAAGCAATCCCTGGCCTATGTCCACCCAGGCCGAAGACGTGCTTTAACGGAGTCCGCTGCAGGCAGCCCACACACTACTGGCTCAGTAACTGGCAGGGGCGGGGGGTGTCCTACCATTCCTACCAGTTCCTGACACCCACTCCTACCTCCAGAGTTTTACTGGTGGTGTTAATTAGGGTGGATAAAAAGAAATCCAGTTTGGCTGTAGTTACTCCACATCCATCACCAGGAATCAGGGCTGACTGATCTAGGATAAAAACCATGCCAGCCAGTGATCCTTATAAAAAGGATCCCAGGCATCTTTTAACAAAAGGAGGCCCAAGTTTAGTTTACCATTCCTTAGGAGGCCTTAGCACTTCTGGAAATGAAAATGCTTTGTACTAACCCCTTAGCTTCCCTTTCCAATCCTCAGTGTTCCAGGAATTTACTGGTGTGATTCAATAGTGGACTGAATTGTTTTCTCATGATTCATAAGGTCATGTCTGTCCTGTTATTTTGAAAACCTGGTAGAAAATCTCCCCCAAAAGCTTATTCTGCATTTCAATAAGGATGCAAAATCACACATGCCATCCCCACCCACGGGATTCGAGAATAGAAGCCAGGCTATGAATTACAAGGATTAGATTCTTCCAGGTTCCCTGGATGGATGTTTCCCTAGCAGATCTTGTTTCCCATCTCCCATGTTAAGGAAGATCTTCTTTATTAATCCCCTGCTCACTAGAGATCAGGAACCCCAGTGGGCAGAATGTTCCGCTCTCAAGGAAGGTATGCTGCAGAGGCACATGGCAAACTGCTTAAAACAAAACAAAACACTTGTGGTCAATACAGACAGGTGGAAGAGTCCCTCCCGGGCAACCCAGAAGTTTGAGTAATAGTCTAAGAAGCCATATCCAGTAGAAAATTAGCCCTAAGTCTCACCCAAGTCACCACAGGACGGTTGTAAAAAATGGTTTCCCAGGTCTGCCTAGAACCTCCAAGCTTCAATGTGAGACTTTAAAAAATGAAAAGGATATGGAGAGTCTGACAGAGATTTGACTTTGAACAAGTTGGAGGAAGAAAGATTTAAGAAGAAACCGGACACCCAATGCCACCCTCAGACGGGGCATGGTTTCAGACATGCACCACCTGCCACAGTACTGCGAATGTTGAAAAATGAAGAGGATGTTATTTTCCTCATTAACGCTTTTAAGACACTTCTTAGAAGGGAAGGAAAAAGAAATTCAAAAAAGGTGGCTTTTTGGAAAAAAGAAATGAAGGTTGTGAAATGTAATACCAGAAAGGTTTTGCTTACCAGAAACCGTAGCTTGATTCCCCCTGCCTCGAGATTACAACTGCCGTCTGCTTTCCTAAAGATTCACTTCTCATCCTAGTACCAATGTACAGGAGCTAAGCAACTGGAGATCGTGATCCAGCACTGAACACAAAGAGTTTATCTCCAAACCGAGAGGTGCAAATAAGGGTGATTTAGAAGTCCTAAAGTACCCTCCCTCCCCCAGATGATCACACAAAGCTACCACCTGCAGGAGGCCCAAGGACTGGATCCTGAGCAGAAATGGCACATCACAGTGTCATTAGGCCTCTTCGTCTACTTAACTTAGGTCGTAATTCTCACGAGCCCTGTGTCTGGCTCATCTCCCACAACACGCACATGTACGTACACACATACACACTCCAGAAGCCTCCCAAAGTACAGTTGAGGGTTGCTGGTTCACCCCTGGCAAATGAAGCAGGGAACACTTCCAAGCAGTTGTGATGAGTGGAGGTGAAAATAAAAGCAATGGGTTGTTAAATGTAAAAACTAGGGCTAACCAAGGAGATGGGACAGCCTCGCCACCAAATTCCTGTAAGCTTTTACCCCTCTAACATACAAGCTGTTAAGACTGTAGCTGAAGAAAATAGGGGCAGTGTCTTCGGCAACCCACAGCACAGGGAGTCCAGAAGACAGGGCTCAGGGGTGGAGTTTCAAGAGGGTGGAGAGAGGGAGAGAGCCGATTACATCACCTCAGCGCTGCTCCTCCCCCTTGACCAAGCTTCCAGGGCGGCCCTGAGCTCTGGGTGGCCGAAGGGGAAAAAAACAACAAAGAGGGACGCCATTTTGTAATGGAGGACTCAAGTTAAATAAGCCAGCCCAGCTCTGCCGGTAGCTACAGTCACATTAGAAAACACCCGATTTTTAGTAAAAACCCCAAAGCCAGCCCCCCCACAGCCTACATAATTTGGGGGCCTAGTTTGAAGCAGTTAAAAGAGTAGTGAAAATAAAAGCAATTAAAATAGTAAAAAGAACAATTTTCTGCAGGGAAGGAATGAATTTCAATTGAGGTCCAACCTGCTACCATCGACCACCCCCATCCTCCCCATAAAGGGAAAGGGGGAGGACTTAGACCCCTCTCAACAAATAGGGTTGAGGTGGGAGGACAGGAGAAAAATGGGTCAAGACACAACCTGCAACGCCGCTTGGAAGACAAAAGGACAAGGAAAGTCGCCATATTGAAGCAGGGAAGAAAAAAATTCCTTTTAACGACACAAATCTTTTAGAGAAAGCTAGCATTAAATTGCACTAAATGGCTTTTAAAATACTCCTGAATTGCACATTTCCCAACCTTTCCACCCTGTTTAACTGTATCCCCCCCACCAAAAATATCAAGTTAAAATGTCAATCATTTTGCTTTTAAATAACCTATGCAATTTTCAACAATTACAAGACATTTCCCTCCCCTTATTATCTTGTATGTACTGGCACTAAGATTATATTTTGCCCTATTAAGTGTCTTGCAATCTTTATTCCTAGATTGCCACCTATTTAAACCACACACACATATATATATATATATCCCAAGCAAATTACATTAAAATTGAGAGGATTTAACAATCACTTAAAGTCATAGCCAGCTCTTACTTCTCTGCCCATCTCCTTACCCTGCAATCTTTATGTACAGATTGCTTATTAATCTGGCAAATTGAAAGGCGCCCTGCTCGTCTCACACACAAAGAAGTGGGACTTCTGGGCCACAAGATCCACCATCTTTTGTATGTGAGCTCATTAACCCTTTTGAAGACTGCTGCTAACCAGAGGAAGGTAATCGTTCCTCTTTATAAAAAAAAGCAACACTTATGGCTTTGGCAGTCTGGAAATTGGCTGGATTACCAAGGGTTAACCATCAAAATCCTCATTTGCTGGCCCTCCCTCCACCCTCTCCTTGCCTGCAGCAGGGCAGGGAAGAGGTAGGTGGTAGGGGAGAACAAGACTGTTTAGACCCAATGGCCCGTTTTAATGGAGATCAAGTGACCGATCGGTCCTTCTCCAGTTCTATGGTCTCATTTCTTCCTCTCATTATTTTTGGTTTCACAACGGGAAACGTTGATTTCTTGTTGCAAGGCTTGTTTTTGAAAATTCGACACTTACTATCCAATATTTTTGCGACGTCAGCACCTCGGGCTCAGGGGGAAGGGGGTAAAATTTTGGAGGAAAAAAAACCAACCAACCAGGACCCAAAACTCAATTATCTGGGGGGCCTCATTGGATCAAAAAGTCTCTTAAAAAAACAAAGGCCAACTCAGTATTCATCCCCCCCCCACCCAACTCCGTTTAGGGAGGGGGGGTCGCAGAAAAAAATCCTGAGTGGATTAAAAAAAGGAAGCGCTGGATGAGTGAATTTGGGTGGGTTTAGGAAGGGAGGGTGGTTGATTATTTTTGAAGTTATGTGGTGACGGTCCTTCGGCCACAGATTTCAAGTCCCAAGCAGCGTGGGCTGGTGGGGTGGGCAAGATAGGTGGGAAGGGGCAGAAGACACAAGTGGTTGGGCTGGTGGCTGCTGCTTTCCCTTTCCCCCCTCAGGATCCTTTCAAGGGCTTAGATGTTGCTGCGGCTTGTTTCTGTTTTCCTCGTAGCCGGCCTTTCTCCGAGAAAATTGAAACCTGGGATAAAAGGAACACAAGGGAGAAAGCTGTAATCAGTACGGGTTGTTTCTTGGACACCCTAAGTGCCATCGCCGTTGTCCCAAAACACTTCCACATCCCATCCCGGACACAGCCGCTTTCTATAAGCCCCGGCTCCGAACTTAGCCCGCTGTTACCCGTCTTTACAGTCCAATACCCTCCGCAAAACCTGACGCCATAACCACAAAATACCCAAACTTACCTCTAAACGAACCCCAGAATGGCGGCTGCCCGCTCGGGCGGAGTCTTTTATACCCGGACGCCGCCCAACGCGCTCAAACGTGCTAGTGAAACGCCCTTGTCGCGAGATATTGTGCGCGAGGCGTGAAGTCATTGGTCAGCCCGAAACACAACTAGCCAGCTGATTGGCTGTCCTTCCTTCGCCTTCGCTCGGCCCCCGCCCCTGGCTCCACTTCCGCCTCCTTCCTGCCCCCCGTCGTCGCGTGCGCGTGACCGGAGAGCCCAACACCGCCCTTTCCTCCTCTGTCACCACTTCCGCCCTTGGATGCGTTTCTCACCTTGGGTTGGTAGAAACAGGCCGGCGCATGCGCACTGAGAGAACACGGATCCAAATCGACTTCAAAATCGCTAAACCGGCAAACTCTAAGTGTGTGCTCTAGAAGTCGTAGTGGCTGGTCCAAAATAAACACCATTTGGGACCCTGGTTCGATTGTGACGCAGTTGAAATTAGCTTCTCCCCACAGCCCCCCACGCACGCTTCCGTCCTGACGCAACGGCGCGCCTGCCTTCCGCACTGCGGGCTCGCCAGAGGCTCGGCCCTAGTCAGTTTCCCGGCGCATGCGCAGGCCCCTTCCCGGACGTCTCCGCGCCCTGCGTGCGTCAAGATGGCAGCCTCCGTGTCGAGCACGCTGCTGAGGCGGCTTCTTAGTCTTTCTACCTTCAGAGGTGCCTACGGAGTTCAGGTAACTCCTCAGAAGACGTTTTTGTACAACCCGCCCCCACTTAGCTATGTTTTCTGGGTCGTGTCTCCATCGCGGGGAGTCCACAGTAGGAGACCTCGACGCACCCGCGTCACAGCTGTGTACGCCACACTCCCTGCATCTTCTCTCGCCACTGCCTCGCCCATTCGGTTCCCGAGCCAGAGCTGGGTGTCACTCTCTTACCAAAATATAATTTCGGCAAAATAGGTGATGAAATTCTCCGCCAGTCATGCCCAGCTAGCGTTTAGCTCTGCAGATGGTGTCTAAATGTGTGATGTACCGGGGTGTCCTTGGCTTGAGCCCTGATTTCTGCCAGCCTCGCTATCTGCTAGTAAAGCCAGGAGACATTCTGTGGACCTGGGGGTCAGTCCCTCAGCTCCTTAGCTTACTAAATCAATTTCTTAGCATATGTGAGAGCTTAATGCACCTTTGGATTTAGGCTTCCCTCCAGCCTCAAGTACTCACCACCCTGAAGGTTCTCGGTGGGGCAGGGCAGATTCTTGGTGAAGTAGGGTGAGAGAGGTAGGTTTGCCCAGTTGCCACTCCCTAAAGTGGGATTGAAAGATGGTGGCAGAGGTCACCGCAGAGTTAATCACAGGCCTGGTAGCTTTAAAGCTAGCGTTAGGCCTCAAATTTGTTTTGCTCTGTGGAATGTTGACCTTCAACTTTTTGTAAAAGTGGGCAACGCTGTGACTCATGATTAGCTTAGGTCAGAGACTCATCTGCCCTGTGCATTTCTTCTCCAGCACACATGACTTCCAAGAGGCTACATAACCTGCCTATTCCTTTCTTCTTTCAGACTCTGTTTCCCCAAAGCACAAATACTTGTATATGCCACGTTTTTAAGTTGTTTTTTCTAATTAGATTGCTTCCCAGTCATATGTCCTGATTATCCCCTAACATTAGCTTCCTTTTTTTTTTTTAAGAATTATTTTATTGTGAACCAGCAGTTAGCGTAATGGCTATGTCGCTGGACTCCCACGTAGTCGACCGCGGTTCACGTCCCGGACCCGGTGGCTTAAAACTCACGCCGGGCGCGTGTGCGTGCTTGCCCAAGATCCCGAGAGGAGAATGGAAGAGAAGGGATTGCGGCGTGGCCATCCCCCCTGGGGGGTGATTTCTCGCTTTCCGTCTCTCTGTGTCTCTCTGTCTGTCTGGCGAGTGCACGCGCCCTATAGCAAAAACCTCTCCCCCCCC